AATTTAGGAAAAGTTGTCAGTGAATCAGAGGGTGTAGGAGCCTACGGTGTAGAAATATCTCTAAAATAATCACACTTTAAATGTTGAAAATTTTATTTTACTTCTTTTATGTTCATGATCATCTTAGCTTAGATATAAACCCCTAAAATTTTGAATTAAAACTTCATGTTTGAAATAGATTTGAGAGGAGGCCCTCATATATACAATATGAATCGACTGACTTATAGAAACCCCATCCATCTTATTATCCATATCGAATGCCATTCAATAATACAAGCACTTCAATTTATTGGAGATACAATACAAACTGTCAAAGACTTTAAGAATAAGTATAATGACAACTGTCATAAATTCAAGCTTCAAGCTGGTACTTGGTCTGTAGGGCCAATTTAATATAATAAGGTTTGCTTATTCTGATTCTTCTTTAATCAACTGAAAATTTCAAGAGGGGCAATCAATCTGGGAACATTTTGGCAATAAATTTGGAAACATTTTGAATTTGGAAAGGAAGAAAAAGCATTGATGAGAGAGCCCACTTCCTCTCCCTTCCAAAGTGAAATGTTGTATTGTTGTGTTTTTTTAACCCCCTCATTTCATGCAGGATCTTAGGACAACTGTCGTATATTAAAGCCATGGCTTCTTCTTTTTTTTTCTTTAAAGTTAACCACGAATTTCATTGTCTCAAAGGGAAATACAAGGAAAAATTATAAGAAAGATGATATGACCAACATTGACTCGGGCACTCCCCTTTTAGCTAAAGATGATATGACCAACATTGATTGGTGCACTCCACGTTTAGCTAACATATCAGCCTTAGCATTACCCTTTCTACAACAATACACAGGATTAAAGAAGCAACACAAAATGAATTTCATCGGACAAACCCCTAATTCTCTATGGCAGCTTCATCTCTCTTTTTGCCCCGTTCAATAACATTGGAGGAATCCCCTTCAATTGTCTTATGGCCATCCAACTCCATTAGAATTTTTGGTCCTTCCAGAAGTCCTCTAGATTTAGTAACATTGATCGTTGTATCTTGAGAAGGTCTTTAGAATATGATCATTGTGATCTTAAATGATTCCTTGAAACCAGTTGGGCCTGGGTTGCCCAAAGAACTACCATTAAAATTAAGTTTCAGACCATTCAAAAGAGATGGTTTTTCCAAATAATTATGATCCTCTTGAAGTGTTGACGAAGTTTTGCCAATTCCGAAAAACTTGACTTTTGGGTATACCACTACAATCCTTATGCACCGAGAACAAATTGATTGTCATTACAAAAGTATCTGATTTAAGAACATTCAAGTCTAAGCACACACATTAAAAAATTATTCTATTGCGTTCCCTCCACATATTCCATTTTATACTAGTCCATAAAGATCGATCACCATAAAAATTTGCTAATCTTTGGAAGATCCGGCTGCATCCATTGTTAACGAATAGCATTGATTGAGGAACTTGGATATGGAGTTGAATCATATACCGACCCCAATTCCAAAGATTCTGGGAGAAAGGGCAATGCAGCAGTAGGTGGTCTACCGTTTCATCATCTAGCAGACATAATAAGCACCCATTTGTTAAAATGAATGCCCTCCTCCAAAGATTATCTATTGTATGAATCCTTTTGGCACACAATCAATAAGAATAATTTAACTTTTAGTTGAATATGAAAACTCCAAATTTTTCTTATATTTGGGTCTTTATCCCGAAACATACCACTATAAAGAAGACGATAGATTGACTTCACAGAAAAGTCACCATGAGGATTTAGATCTCAAATAAGAGTATCTTCTCTGTTTGGAGCATAAAAAACATTATGCAAGAGATCCATCAAGCTTTGAAACTCATCAAATAAGAGTATCTTCTCTATTTGGAGCATAAAAAACATTATGCAAGAGATCCATCAAGCTTTGAAACTCATCAACAAAAGCATTAGACATCCTTCTGTACCTACACACAAAAGAGCACGAAAGATTAGAAGCATCGTGCCCTCTCATCACCTTTGTTGAGGTTAGTGGGTTTAGCACTTTAGAGAATCACCTCAGGTTACAAGTATCGCAGGGGGCAATTTCCTAGCCACTTATCAAATCAAAAGGTAATTTGACAAATAAGGTAGTAATAAAGGGGAAAGAACATGTTCACCACTCTTTTGAGAAATTGAAGGGGGAAACGAAATTGATTTCAAAAAAGTAACAATGTATTTTTCTATTTTATTATTCTCAAATATTCAAGTTATTTTAATTGACTTGACTAGAATCATTGTAACTTTTTTATTGCTTAGTGGATTTCGGTGCCCTATGATTTTTCTCTTGTTTGAAGAGTTTTCCAATAAAATTTTCTATTATATTTGATATTTAACATCTTAAGTTTTTTGCGTAAATTTTGCCGTGATTTGGTAATTACTTAAACAAAAATGGTTTGATAGGATTGCGGCCCTATCAAAACATAAGTAAAGTTTTACCTCATAACTCATCGAAAAATTACAATTCAAGTATTGGAAGACCTTTACATCAATCATCTCGACTTCAACATTATGGTTGTGAAAAAAAATAAGATTTCAAGCTTTAAAAATATTGTATGTTTTAACAAATTGTCTAAACCATCCATTTCGCCCTAAAAATAAGTGTTCAAAGATTTGTAAAATCTATATTTTTTTTTTTACAATGATATTTTTTGAATTTCAAAATTTATTGTCGGTGTTGAAAATTGATTTTAGAACCATCGTTGAGATTTCCATTGACGGAGTACTTGAATTTGAGGTGAGGCTTTATTTGATTTTCTTAAAACCTAGGCGTCATTAAAACTTCATAAAAAAAGGAAAACCATTGCAACTTGATCACGCATGGACGAAAAAGTGGTAATAATTCCATACCCTTACTCCCCATCAAAATTCTCAATAGTCCAAGTTGCCGTCCAATAGCTTTCCCTTTCCCCCCCCACAACGAAATTTTCGGAGGGAAGATGCAAAAGTTGCCTCCTATCTCTCACCGTATGTCCCACGCCCGCCTCAACTTGACGACCAACATCTAAACCTTGTTCCCTTCATAATTCCTCCATAACGTGTACTATGCGTAAGGGTGGCAATGGACCCGGACTCGGACCCGAACCTGACCAGGGACCTGGCGGGTATGCCCGAGAAGAGCCCAAGTATGGGTCCAACATTTGGACCCGCGGGTCGGGCCTGGGTTTAAAACCTGGATCCGAACACTATTCGAGTCTAGGTTCGGGTTCGGTTGGACCCGACCCGTACTGTAAACTATTGGAGATAAAATACTTCAAGCCCTATTTATTTGGGTGTATTGTGAATCATATACAATAAAATTCATAATCATCTTTAGCTATTAGAAGACAAATCAGACTGCTTGAAATCTAATGGCAAATGATTATGACCTTGTTGCCAATAATATGGATATATGATAGTAAATAAAAGGGTGAAAAAAAAAAGAAAGAGAAGCTCAAAATGGACGCAACCAAACCCAGGACCCAATGGAATAGACCCGAGACCCGACAATTATGGGTATGGGTCCAACTTTTGGATCCGACGGGTCGGGTCTGGGTCCAAAACCTTAGACCCGAATATATATGGGTCTGGGTCCAGCCTGCCCGACCCATACCTGACCCATTGCTACCCTCTATGCTCTCCATCTACTCCCTCAGTTAAAAGACCTACTTTGGAAGATTTTTTCGATTTGAAATTTTGGGAACTACCTAAATGATTATTCTCAAAAGAAAAATATTTGAGTGTTTGACACTTAGATACCACTCTTCAAAAGTTGGACCGTCTCTGTTTAGATTACTTTTTGGGTGAGGTTTGTATAAGGTGTCAACCTTATACTATGAGGTAAGTTGCACCTCAAAACTATGCAAAAAAATGAAGTTTTGGTGCCACAAAGCCGATATGGAAATATATTGTTGCCCCCTATTATAAAATTTAAAATTTCAAAAATAGTGACGATCAAGCAGACCTATACATAGCTTGAAAATCTTGAAAATGGACGGTTCAGATAATAAGTCAGAAGATGGACTATTTTTAAGGCTATAAATCCCAATATTTTCATGTCTATGAATCTCGAGGTCGAAATGATCGAGTTGAGGATTTTTCACAATAGGAACAACCTTCTCTAGTGGATTATTTAGGTGTAACTTATTCATACAGTATAAAGTTGACACCTTATATAAACTTTTTCCTTATTTTTTCTAGACATTGAGAGTTTATTTAGTAAAATTAGTCCATAGGTTGAAGTTACATCTCAAAAATTTGGGGTCCTCCAAGGACTTCTACATTGGATTTTGCTAAAAGGACATAACACTCAAATAGGAGTATAAAATATTTTGCTATCTCACAAAAAAACAAGTCCCATCAATGGACATTTAAAGCCCTTTACTCCTTTGTGTTCAGACGCGCGTCCACGGAAATCAAACCTTTTTCTATATGAACCCATTCATTGCACTCCTATTTGCTTTCCTGCCTAATAATGTGTGAGAAGTGAAGTGTGAAAACTCCAGACGGGTTCTTTGTATGTGTTGACATTGTTTATTACATACCACCTTTACGTGGACACTCACAGTAGGCCTTTCACTATCTGTGCTGCTTGTATAAAAGCACAGTGAGGTTCCCGGCTCTCTTTGTACAGAGAGTAATCAGGGAGATTGAACTGTGAGTTGGTTGAATTCCATTGAGAGAGAGAGAGAGAGAGAGAGAGAGAGAGAGAGAGAGAGTGGTAGTAGTAGTAGTGTCTCTACTTCTTTCTTTACTTCGTTTCGTTACGTTAGCGTAGTGGTTGGTCGTTAGTAGTGGTGGGTAGGGTGGTGGTAGTAGAACGTAAACGT